ATAGGACGAATTGATTTTTCCAGCATTCAGGGGCAAAAATTCAACAGAAAACAAGTGATGTACATCAAGGAAACAAATTAATTATCATAAGAAGGAACCAAACAAATCCAGCGTGCTCATAAATATCGTGGACTTATTTAAATAAGGGTTCAAAGGTCATCCGAGACATGCGATTCCCCTTAGGATATTTGTGTGATATTATCGTATTTTTAATGTTCCTGCTATCATTTTTGTCCTTGAATATGTAGTAGAAGCATATCATTATATGTAGAAGCATTTCATTCAATTTTATTATCTTTGATATTTTATTAAAAATTGAGGCGTCTATAATATAGAGGCTAGACAATGTGTTTCGTAATATTCAGCTGAAGGACAAATCTTCTTGACATACGAGTTATATTGTATTTGAAAACTAGAACGGGGCAATCAAAATGAAATATTCAAAATTTAAAAAATGACGATCGGGTTTTTTTCTTTTTAGGATACGTCAGACCGAAGACCTTAATATAGTGATTGCGATAAATTTAAAATTGTGTTTCCAGCACGTGCGTAATTGAGTTTCTTGCTTGAATTTCATCCCAGAGAGATGAGTAGAGTTTTCGCTGAAGCAATAAGAGCAAACAACCCGATATTTGTACAGTAAACAAAAATAAATTATTTTTTTCCACCAGCATATAAACCCTAAGACCCTCCCTGCAAGCATGGGAAATTTAAATTTTTTTTAAGCAATCCGTTCAAGTTCCTTCTTGGATTTGTTCTCAAAAATAAAAAGAAAATACTCTGCTGAATTATGGAATCCAGCTTATTGTTCTTTGTTTTAAAAGATAAAATTAAAATACTGTATATTCATGAATTATGTAGGCTGGTGAAAAGTGGCTATGTTTCTATTTCACGAGACGAACATCCAAGACTAAAATTAAATATTTAATTTACGTCAATTAAAAAAATAGTTTGATGTTGTAACGTTTTTTATGCCTCCAAAAGTTTTTTTCCAAAAAGATCTTCGATCTCTTCTTATACTCAAATGTTCCGGAGGCAAACAACGGAGTCTACCCTACCCAGTTCGTTTGCGACGAACGCCCAGAAAGAATATGTTACACTTCTCATTTTTTATACAATACAGAAGATTTAAATCATTACTGGACAGGAATTCCAAATGAAAATTATGGAAATTATGTACGCGGACGAGGGCAACGACCCGTCATAGCCGACACTGTCTCATTCGTCACACTTTCGAAAACAATTCGATTACGATACACGATGAATTCATCCTGATGGAAAATTATCTTAGACTGAAATTATCTTATAAATTATACTGCATGGAAAATTATCTTGGAGAAGGATAATAATCATTGGAACTCGATTTTGAAACAAATGATGTGCATATTTTGTGTTGATCAATTTTCCTCATTCATCTGTGATGCTTATCAAAGGTGTTTACATGCAGTGTTTGATTGACTGAGTGATAGGAATATACTGTACTATTGCAGTGATTAAGGAATACTGTATTTTTTCACTGTCTTATCGCAATGATAACTTCCGTTTTAGAGAAATCCACGGGCATTCTCTTGAATTTTCCGTCGTATCGATGAAAAGATTTTTTGTAACACAGAGAGTCTCCTTTTTATTCATTCGGAAAGTTAACTTGCCTTTTGATGAAAATTAAAAAATGTATTTTCTTATGAAAACGGATTCATTTACTTGCACAAGAAAAATGCGTGAAACCACCAACTGAGTCACAGTCACTGATGGCCACTCATTTTCACTATACCCGAAGACAAACGCAATTAAAATCTTCATGACGTTCTATAATTTTTGCTTTTGCACACAATGCACTACTGAAATTCAATACGGAACTACTGCACTTTCCAGCACACTGTGAATTCTGTGTTCGTTGATTACTTCTCGAAAAACTTGCACAGGTTCAAAAAAGAAAGAAAGGCTTGATTGATGAAATAAACATTTGAAAGATAAAGACAAAAGGAGGACACTGGTTATAAAATACAGTCGGTGAATTGGATGAGTAAATTCATTATAAATGTTTGTCCCTGTTTCGGAAAGTACGCTGAAAAGCTTTGGCGGAAAATATCGAACGAAAACTTTGTCAGACAATACGAAAAGCGCGATTATCGGCAATATAAACTCTCCGAAGTTTGAGGGATACAGAAAAACAGAATTTCCGAAGAACATTTTCGAAAAATACACAGGCTTCATTCTCGGCTTTCGGAGATTTTTTCCACAATTACTCCATCAAATTCGTGATCGAAAATTCGAACATTTCTGCTCTCGTCTATCTCAAAGAATGAAAAAAAAAGGTATCCACAAACTACATCCAGGTGATCGACCGAATCCGAATTTTCATGTATCCTTGTCTTTGGGAGAACCTTCGGGTATATGCTGCCTCGAACCACGCCAGCTGCATGCATGAGATGGAAACTTCGGAGAGCAGCGGAACGATTATAGACCTCCAACCAGGGTTTATCCGATCAGCATAAAGTACGATATATATGCAACAGCTTGAACTGAAGAGGAATCGCTCATTGGAATACCGGCGTTTCTCTGAGCAGCACTAAGGAAAATTATACCGCCTGTTTTAATGAGCTGCTGCACGTAAGTATACGGTATCATTTAGAAATTCTTCTTAAATTTCCCGCAAACGCTGCGAGCTTGGGAATGGGACAAATTGTATTCTCGGAAGTTATCTGAGATGCATATAATGATGTGCATAGATTAATCATCTCAATCAAAGTGACATGCTATTACGTCCACGAGTTTACCTGTCTCCTGTTGATAAATTAATTTACCAGAGGGTAAATTTTACATAATTGTGAGAAAAGTTATGCTACAGGTGTATACTGTATTTTATCTTGAAAATGCCGACCACGTCTCCCACGAAGTCCACCATCGTGAAAGGTAAAGGAACCCGAAACACCAGATTGACAGGCACTCGTGGAGCTGGTGATGTATCCTGCATAAGTCTAATGTACACCACATCACAAATCTGTAGTATATAATTTACTGTACTGCCCTGTGTTTATGCATAGTCAAACCCCAATTTAATGCCACCGCGGCTGTTCCACAGGATTTTGTGGCACTATAAGCGATGGTGGCACTAAATCGAGGGAGGCTCAAAAATTTAAATCAAATTCCATCAACTAAATATAATATGGAATATGTAAATCTACACGCAATCAAGCCTATTTATTCTGTCTCATTTTTGCTTCAAATCTTTCCTAATGATTCAAATTAAATGTAAAATTCTGTTGAATGCATTTTTCCTTTAAACCACTGTTTGCCATTGCTGCACCAATGCTAATATATTAGTGATGCTTTTGGTTGAAAAATTAAGTGTTTTGAATAAGTCATTCATTGCAGATATGCATCACAAATCAGCCATTCCTCATAAGTTTTTTAACCGGTTGCTCAAAAATTAGCAAGCCATATTTTTTGCATGCTATGAACCTCTTTGATTCCTTCTTGAATCGTGAGCCAAATGGGAAAATATGGGATGATAAAAATGTTTTGCCTCTTTGAAAGCCCTCTATTCACTCTGAAGTCTGAATGCACTTTGTCCATAGAAACAAGCATTTAATTAAAGCACTCATTGCCACAAGATAATTTGAACCTCAGTAAATTTTCTCCAGCCATCTTACTGGTTCTTTTTTTTAAATTTTGCATTATAACTCAACGTGGCTCAACCCTCCTTTAAAACGCAAATTTGTTAAGATGGTTATTTCTGAGCATGGACCTCTTTAAAATCATCCAGCATGTGATCTGAAGAATTTGAAAAAAAAGGGGGACTTTGGAATAAGAATTGTTCAGTAGCTCAGATGATTCTGCACTCACACAGAATGGTATTGTGAGAAGTCTGAAAGTGATGTTTTGTGATAGCACTGAAAAATAATTTTTCAGTGCTGAATTTTGTTAGCTGCAGTAACTTATGTAAAGACATTTTTCTCTGTATGCATGAAATTCCTTCTTCTATTACAAAGAAAGTACATTTGTTTTCCCATGTTTTTATGAAAAAGCAACAAAAAAAAGTTACACTATCTGCCTCTGCATGAAGCCTGATGCAACTTGAAACGCAAAAATGTCAATGTAAGGGCAGAGCACATGCACAGAGAGGATACTAGATTGAGTGTCTCAGTGCTTCAAAACATTTCAAGACTCAGCAATCACTTTGCCTCGAAATTAATGGAAATTAGGAGTAACTAAGCTGGGGAGGTAAGAAAGAGGTGTGAAACATTTTCAGAGACATCTTGCAGCTCAGAAAAAGCCAACAAGGGCCCCTAATTTATTTGTTTAGATTATGTTTTCTAAACAAATTCATAGTTCTGTTCTGAAGTTGCTAAATGTAACAGTCTGCCATAGAACTAATTTTCAGAATTCAGGATATTCTTGTTTAGTGCAAAATTTTTTGACAGTGGAGGATTTTTTTGGCACTAAGTGAGTTGGCTCTAAATTGGGGTTTCCCTCAAGAATATAATGGAGGGAGATATGTACCAGGGAAATTTGTGGCACTATGCGAGGTGGCACTAAATTGAGGGTTGACTGTATTTGGAGGTATGTGGTGCAGAATACTGTACACTGGTACAGTATTGTATAAGCTTACAGTTCAGTATAGGGTCAGCGGTCAGGCATGGCAAATGAGAAGCTTTTTTCCTTCTATAGCAGTGACACCTTGAATGCTTTGAGATTTTATTCGGAAATGATTCATGTTCAGAAAGGCCACTTTTCTGTCATACAGTCGGCTCGTCCGTTGAGAATAAATTGGACGAGTTCCACATGTGATCAACCAACTGTGGCAGTTCCTGAATCGTGAAAAGTGGAATCTTGCCCTTGTCGAGAGAAACTGCGTGTCGTGTTTTCCGAACGGAAGTTATTAGAAAACAGGATATTTATTGTGCGAAATGCCAATCTGGCACCTAGTTTAGGCCATGCATGGTTCGTGTGGCAGATTGGGTCCGTCATTTTGTACGAAATCAATGCCTGATGCCCCTTGGTTTCTTCGAAGATGTACTCCGTTATCGCTTCGAAAGGCGCGCACGTGACTCGAGGCGCTGCCAAGTTGAGTACGAGTGCCCAAGTATGTGGAAGTATTAGCAAGATCGGAAACAGAGATGTGGTAGGACACGGTTTCAATGGGGAAGCGAGCTATATGGACAGAGCTGATTATCCGTTCCCTGCTGTTCGGTTTCGCGAGCCAGCCTCGGACTTTACGGTATGTGTGATTTTAAGGTGATGACATGCTTAAATTTCGAATCCTCACATCCCTTTTATTAAGGCGGTTCTTGAGAAGGAGCGGGGGGATTGGAACAAGCTGTCGATAGAAGAGAAGAAAAAGCTTTATCGGTACTCCTTCTGTCAGACGATTGCCGAACTGAAGGCACCAACCGGTGAATGGAAGTTTTGCATCGGAGCTACCTTGTTTATGAGTTCCCTATCTCTTTGGATTTACATTTGGATGAAGACGTATGGTGAGTGTAGCTCAACATCAATGGTCCAGTCGCGGTTTTTAGTCGTACCGTTCTCGTGTACACTTACACCTTCCGTCCGGGCACAGTTAATACGTTTTGAATTCTAAATTCCACTGCGTTTTTAATTGTTTTTTTATTGAGACCTCAGTTGAACCATCATTGAATCTTTCTTTTCCGTTCTTTAAAAAATGGTGACATGTCCGAATGTGGAGTGTCATTTTGAAAGGTGGTGTAGTTTCTCGCCGGAGCAAAACACTGATTCCTCTGTGTGTTAATTGTCGAAATATATGTTTTTTCTTCATTGTAGTGTACAGTCCTCTCCCGGAATCCACAAAGGAGGAGAGTAAGAGGGCTCAACTGCGTCGTCAGCTGGACATGAGAATCGATCCCATCGATGGTATATCTTCCCGGTGGGACTATGATAACGACAAATGGAAGTGATTCGTGTAAGAATCGGGAAGGACTCAGCTAATGAGGATTCAAAAGTCTCCTGAAGTCGCGACGAACTTCTCGCTTCCTAGTTCGTAGTGGCTGAATTTCGACTCTGATTTGCTTCCTGTCAATCTTCGTGTAGTGAGTGCAATCGTTCGGTGCTTTAGATACTGGGAGTTTATGTTTAAAAAAAGAAGCTGTGTCCTAGTGATTGAATTTGTTCGCCTTTCGTCAGACGGATAATAGAAAAATGTGATACGCTTCAACCATGGACTACCAATTCTCTGTTCGTATTGACTAGCCGTTCCCTGATATTTCCCGCGGTACTTCCGAGTTCTTCCGTCCTTGAATGTCCGAAGTTGTTTCAGTACACATGAGTCGACTAATCCAGGCCGATCCTTCTTCAGATCTGCTACCGCTTCTACAATGCTCATCAAGAATCCGTCATCTCCAACGTAACGTAGTTAACTATGAGTGTAGTCTGAAGTCATGAACTGTTCTTGAGTAGGATGTGACGTTCACTGCGAATTTTGCAATGTCAAGTAAGAATTTTTTTGTTCTAACGCTTCGAATGGAAGCTCAACTTGAATATTGGTCCTATTGCTTGATGCATTAGGTGGGAACGAAAAAAGTTGCTACCTCAAGAAGAACTCGGTTGTATGGTTTCATTCTTTGAGAACGATCTTCCTGAATTTCAAGATTTGAGGATTTATGATTTTATGTTCTTTCACCGCCAATCATTTCGCATGGATTTCCTTGCTAACGTTCGTAGTACGAATGTTCTTCATTCGGTATGCATTTTATTGTTTTTAAGGTGGACTTCTATAATGATATTCACAGCTATATTGGGATATCTTAAGGCGCAGAAGTGTTCTGGTTAATCCTTCGAAAGCCCAATGCATGGACTGTTCACCGCATGCAGTGCAATAATTTTGTCTATTCGCCCGAAGCAGTGATAGAATACAGGTGTACACCATATAAGAGTACCGTGTGGCATTTTATCACTGGTTACAATGTTTTTCCTTTGATACAATAGATTGGGACTTTTTGACCACGTGGTTTTTCAAACGACTGAAGAACCTGCCGGGTGGTTTATGGAGCCATTCAGGAAAAATGATTAATCATTGTGAGTTGATGTTGAATCATACGCTCGTTATCCGAATTAATTGCAAAAAATTCAAAATCTGATCTTTTGATTTTAGTAAAACAATGAAGCAGTTGAAGGTTGAAAATAGAATTTTGAAGAACTGTGATAATGCTCCTTGAGCTGAAGTACTGAAATGTCAAAAGTTGAGATTCCAAGAGCCATTGAAAGTCCTGTCCACTTCGTTCGCCCAGGATATGAGAAGTGATTATTAGCGATTGTCAAAATTGTGCGCATAATTCACGGAAAGATAGAAAAACCTTGGAATAGGCCGCATCTTTTCTTGACGCAATTAGTAAGCTCAATTAAATGTTAATGAACTTTCCATTTCGAGTATTCGAGGTGTCGGGGAAGAAACAATTGGTGTCACTTTCTCAGAGTTTTTGTCGCCAATTTTTTTAATATTGAATGGACAATCATTTTTTCGTAGTTCACAAATCGAGGACGCCTACTAGAATCGAAACTCGATAAGCCACCATCATTTATTTTAGGTTTTTGGCTGTTTATCGGAAAAGCTAAAATAATGCGAAAATCAAGTACAGTATATTACGAAATAAAATTCGTACTTGGGAATGTAAAAAATAAGTCTTCGATACGAAAATTTTGTCTAGCTAATTTACCTATGAAGCAAATTATGCCATCTTTGTGTACGTGTTTTTCTTATTGGAGAACTCTTGCAGAAACTTGAATCTTTTTGGAGGGCTGTGGAAGACAAAATTAATTGATGAGAGTATATTTGAGCCATCAATAATTTTGGTGGATGTCGTTTCAACGGGGATCCTAATGCTTGTATGATTAGGGAAGATTTATTTTTTAAAAGAAATGGTCAGTTGCCAATGGTTGCGTTTTGATGGGGTTTGACTGGAGTTAAATGTCTTCGTAACGTTGAATTTTGAGTATGCTTTTAACCTCCGAAGAAAGGAGGGCTACACTATGGACAAGTCCGTGAAAGAATAAATCTCGACTAGTATGAGGCAATCCTGTCTGTAAAAAACATGCTGATGCGTTTTTCGCTTCCTTGGTTTCCCGAAAAAGCCCATGATTTGTTGAGAGAGAGAAAAATGTCTTGCGACGGGAATCGGAGAAAGACCGAGTAATCCTATTTGTTGAGTGTCGGTAGTCCACAGGTTGGGTAATCCAAAGTGATCGATTGACTGTTCCTTCGTGGAACAAGACGAAACCCGGTGAAGTGACCTAGTACGGAGCAGGTGGGAGGGCTCGGAAGACTTGCTTACACAGTTGGAGGCACCGGTGAAGCAAGTTGGAGAAGCAGAGAGAATAATGATGAGCTCATACTGCTGGTACCTTTGCTTCAGCGACAATGTCCCTGCGCGCCAACCAGACGGTTGAGCGAGGGACGCTGGCAGTTGCTGGCGAAACCGCCGTGTCGAATCGGGAACAGTGCACCACGCCCCTTAGAGCTCGGCTCATTGTCAAACTTTTCTTTCTTTCTTTTTTACAATTTCGGGACACTGTCCCATGTTCATATTTTTTTTCGCCGAGTTCTCAAACTTCTTCACATTCATGTACGCTCGCGTCGTGTATTTACTGAGTAGTCTGTACTACCTTAACATCAACTTCGTTTGAGACGCCACGACCGGACTTCGTGTTCTGTGCAATGTTATCCGTCCTTCCGTATTTCTTCATTTTGGCTGGTAAGTAGAATGTTCCTAAAAAGCATGAAATTAGTGAATATATTAGTTAATTTTGATCGGTAAAACATAAACCGTGTCATGATTTCAGGTAATTATTTCGTGGAAAAGCATTCTTAGGAATCCGAATTTGATTTTTTTTTAATACAGTATACGAAGCCTCAAGCTCCGCAGATTTTTTCAAAAGTTCTTCCTATATTAAAGAAATTATGGACTTAACATTTTGATGTTCAACACTTCGTATGATTACGAATAGTTCCTGCTTCGACAGCTGTTTTCTTCTGAGTGGCAGGTCGTGAACTAGCGAATTATTTCTCGTGAACGCCTATACTGTACGCAAAATCGCGACAGACGTAAAAATTATATTTTCACTATATTCATCTTCATAAAAATGAATTTTTGCTCATTAGTTGGATTTCGTTCGTCAAAAAATGCCGGTATTCGTAATGAATGGAACCAACAGATTGTTTCAAATACACAGTAATTGGCCATCACTTCGATTCAAAGAGAAGAAATCACTGTGCATAATTTCAATCTGAGCCGATTTATTTTCCTATAATAACATAAACATGTGAACTTTAATTTTGTGTCAAATTAGCATTAACCCTTGAATTGTTTTCTTAACTGCGTGCCCTTTTTTTAAGCATTCTGAAACAATCGATTTTCTGGAAGAGGCTCCTGCTGGTTAATCATAGTTTCACCTCCGAACGTTCCTCAAAAGCGATACAATAAGTTCTTGCTTTCTTCAACTGAGTAATTGTTTCACATCGCAATTAGTTTTTCGGCGGTTAATGATTTGATCCGACATCCCATGCAGCATATGACAGGTTTTTTGCAGTTCGAATAGTTTTTTACTGACCAATGATACGGTTCTGTTCAATGAATCCAGTACAGTATTTGCGTATGTTGGAGAATAATTTCTTTCTCGCCAGGGAAACCTTGAGTAATAGAAGCTTTTCAAAGTACACAAAAAGAGTTACATATTTTTGCAAGTAAAAGAGTAGATTGATCAGTTTCCTGCTGTGTTCGTTGGTGATCATGCCAGCGTGTGTTTGTATGTGCATTTGAGTTGCCTATACACATGTGTGCCATGCATTCCGCTCGGTCAATTCGAGTTGCTGATTATATACTGTAGTGCATCGCGATATCCGCCGTAGGTTGCGTTTGAAACGCACTGAACAGACCGTGACTGATGACGAGATTGTTTTTCCGCTGAGCTCTTTTTTTTTAATGGTTATCCTGACTCCTGAATGAAGCTTTGTGGATTTTTCATTCATTTCCTCTCATTGTCTGAGTTGTACTGGGGCATAAATACCAATCCATCCGCGAAGATGCTGCGTTTTTAAAAGTTTTCAACAATGTTCGTGTGCTTCTTCGCGCTTCCTAATTCTATATCCCCTATATATTATATATTTATAAATGTTGTGCTGCACTGTTTCTTCTCATGCCCCGCATACCTTGAAATTGAAGTTCTTCGACCTTTCTTCATCCAGAATTCGCCAAAAAGTTGTGGGGGTGAATAAAATCAAGCCTATTTTTTAAATTATAAAGAAGAAGAAAAGTGAATTCAAATTAAGCCTCTAAGAGGCTTTTTTTAATCGCAGCCCGGACTTGATCAGCTGTTCCTTAATCCATTGACATTTTACGGCAGTACTCACATTCAGTATAACGTAAAAAATTCAATTTTTCCATTGGAGCATGGTATTCAGTAAAATCTGAAACTATTTCAGGTAAAATATTTTTACATTTTTTAGGTTCTGTACATTATTATATACTGTAGTTGCATGCAGTTGGGCCACTGATAAATTCATGAAATTTGCGTGTGTATTCATAGAATTGTTCTGCCTCACAGTGATGAATTACTGTTCCTTAAAGGCTCTGTTGTCTATTTCAACACCGGTGAGGTGAGCAAACGTTGCAACATTCCTCAGAGGACATGATCAAATATTGCGAACTGAAAAATTATTTTTAATCATCTATCCACACGAGGAAAGAACCGGACTGCTGACATTAAAACTTATGAGCCAACCCTATAGTACTTGTGGGTTTAAATCTGGGGCTAAACTCGTGAATGGTCACTGACGCATGTGGGTGAACAAGTATTTTCCTTTCCTGGTTATGAAGACTATCTCGCAGAAGAAGCAGGAAAAGTGCAAGTCATTCTTCGGATTTTTTTTTTTTAGCGCGGAAGAAAAAAGAGTTGTCTCGTCTCTTCTTCCTTCCTATAGTAAATAAAGGTTCGACTATATATTCAGTTCGCCTTCTTCAATAAAATGAGTTTCTCTGCGGCGACGAATTTGAACTACTTTGAGGTCCATAGTAATTATGGGTCTGCTGATAAGCTTTGGAAATTACCAAACATAATTGTTATTTTAGCCTCAAAAACCTTTTGGTATGATCATATCCAACAGAATGCTGAAGGATTGAATCGGTGCTCCAGCGCTGTAACGAACTTTCCCCAAGTTCTCCTTGGTAACCCGTCAGGTCAAGTTCCAGACGTCTGATGCTTGTAAAAGATACAAGATTGTGTAACTTTCTGGCTTCTTTTAATAGCCTCGGTGTAGGAGACGCGGAGACATCGAAGAAAACCGTTTTTATATGGATGATAGCCTTGCATCATGAAAATATAACGCTGGATGACCTCACCATAATAATACACGTAAATTCTTACAGTATATTAACACGAGTAAGTTTTCATTCTTTTGCCCAATTTTATTTTCATATGACGATAGAAAAAGTCTAGAATCTAGGTATACAGTACTGTAACATTAAAATAATTTTGCTATGACCTTCAAAAATTCTGTGAAACGGCATTCCAGGAAAATTTTGAAAAATACCGGATTCACAAATTCTAGAAAGCTGACGGTATTAAATTCAAAACTAGGATAAAATACTTTTTTCTATTTCCGTCTACGTTTTTGCGTTTTAAGGAAAAAATTGAGAAAAATTCTAGCAGGTTTAAAGGAAGGGAATAGTTGGAGCTTATAGACGAGGATAAACTGGCTGAACTTCTGCAGCAAGTTCCAGAAAGCAGCTCTGGGGCATGATTTTCTTCTGGTTCATGGGCTGATGGGATGATGAAATTTGTATTTTACACAAATATGTCCGTGCCCAAAGTTTTCGGAAATTTTCCCTGAAATTGGTCCGATTCAAAACGATTGCAGACATTTCTGCAGCCAAATAAAATGAACGATATACTGGAACAGCCCGAGTATGGAGCCAAATGCAGAAATACAAATTCATCCTCATCCAAGCTCAATGGTTATTTTCAAATCAATATTACTTTGAATTATCAAATAAATATACTTTATATGAAAGGAAAGATGTTGAATGTAAAAACTAAAAATATTTTCTTTGCTTTGTTTTCGATGGAACGGAAAGAACAAATACAACGAAGCTGTATTTTTTCCGTACACGTGTCTGAAAGTTATCAAAATTGTATGAAATTGAAAGCACCGCGTCGTACGATCTAAAAACGTATTCTTTTGCCAGTTTCAAGAAAGTTTGGACTGGCATTGGTCGCAAAAAAAGTAAAATGAACGCATTAGTGTCTAACATATAATTTTATTGTACGTGTTGTTCGAAAGAAATTGCGAAACCGTATCACGAAAACGTTTTACACGCATGATGTCATCGAAAAGGTGTGGAGTTTTACTCGAAAAAAAAAAGATTCGAACCATTCGGAAATGCGTGAAAAAAAATCTTTTCACAAAAATGTAACGTTACATTTTCTGTATGCAACACAATTTCCATCAGATGGCGGTCCGTATTATTTCCATATTTGACCCTCATCAATACCTCATCAGTCAATCAGGTCCGCTTGTGACGGAGAGGATCTGAAGATTTGTCACCTTACACATGTGGCATTCTGACAATAGATTTTCTTGCATCGCATTTTCAGGATGAAAAACTTATGTTTTGTGTGTGCCATTATCTTAGGAGAAATTAAATATTGTACAGCACCTTTTTTCGGAATCCTCAAAAAAAATTCCGAACTGAAGTTCGTGATTGAATCTGTGGTTAAATGCAATCTATTCTCCGACAATTTTTGTTGACCTGAAAAACATATTCTGTACCATCACATGATGAGCTCTCAGGAGTAGTTGAAATTCTCAGATAGTTGTCAGAATTTCAACCACAAACTTTCATGTTGTATTCATTTATTGGATACTGTATTTTTTCAAATTAATCTGCATTAACTTATTCCTCATTTTAATACCCTTTAGGAGAATATTTTTATGAATTCAAAGTTCGAAGCACATGCTTTTAATATCATTTATCAAGAAGAGAGCTCCGTTTATGTTGTGCTGCTGATATGAAACGTGAACTGCAACAGTATAATAAGGTCAATTCATATAGGTTCCTCATTCTCCACAAATATTTGGCGGGGACGCCTTCCAAAAGGATGGCACAGAAATTTCAATTAGATAAATAAAATACAGCGTTAAATTTTCAGCCACCTATAAATTCTCCCGATAGCAGAAAAGCGGATTCAAAACGGTTGAACAGTCGCGGATGTGCTTATATCCGTAATACGTTTAGTACGCATTTTCTTGCCCAACAGGATACGTACTATAATACACATAATATCTTGCGCAATCATTCCGTCACTCTTTTTCATACCGAATACTCAGGTACTTGGTTTTAGATGGACAGCTTGACCAGGGCCGTCTGTCTAAAAGCGGATTTTTTCACCTTTTTTCTCATGGATTTATATTTGACTGTGACACTTATTCTCTGAGTAACAACTAATCAGCGAAGCTTGGGGGATTTATTCAGAGGTCATTGGTTGAAAAATGTTCAGGAAAAAAACTAAATTTTTTTATTGGTAAAAATGAAAAGTCCGCGCTATATTCCGAGTTCAAGTCCTGCATTATCGTGAGTATAATCACAAACGCATGAACTACGCTAGTATATTGGTAAAATGCGGACGAGGACCTTGTATTTGATTTATATACGCTTATTGTTTTCTTTCTTGACCATGGAGTTGAAACTTTTCGATTATTTCTGGAGTTTTCCGTTTTCATGGTGCTAAACGGAACTCGCTAATTTTTTCGGAAGCATAATTTGGAGTTTGGATTTTTGGCCAGCATTATTCAAATGCTATCTTGGTTTGCGACATGTTTAATTCAATTTCGAAGTTTCGGATTTGGCCCAATCGGCGGACAGACTAGAAATTTAGCGAATTTCAACATCATCGTACTGGGAGACATGACTTTCGCACTGACAGAACAGGATGAGCGTATTCACGATTTATTAGAAATGTATGCAACATTTTGGAGATCTTGTTTTCTTTTTCATTTTCTAGTCCGAATTGAAGCATGCATTTGTATCCGCTGTACTGTATATAGATAAAATAAGATTTACTTTATTTCGAATTCGAGAAAAACTTCTGAGCGTGCATATTTAGCCGTATTCAGCAATATATCATAATGCCACCTGCATGTTCCCCTCTTTGTGGCTATAATCGAGCTTAATCAATGGAATTTCGATGTAAAGTTTATCATCCGGGTTGCAGGGCTCTTGAAGAAGCATTGAATATTGATTAGATTATCAACATTTATGAAAAGATCCATCACCGAGGCTTCTTTCCTGCAGATACAAGCTTTTTCGTCGTCTTTCTAAACCACGGAAAAAGAGGAACGAAGTTGAGTACATCAGAAGCTTGTAAAAAGAAAGTGTGGATTATTTGTTTAAAGAAAAAAACGTACGAAACCGGCATTCTTCTCCGTTATTGACCGTATAATGAGCGAAAAGCTTTCAGCGGGGAAAATCTCCTTATGATCTAGAAATTCTACACTCTACTAGAGTGCAGCACAAACCTTTTTTTTCTTTCAAAGATACTGTTTAATTTACTTTTTCATCCTTTTTTAAAGTCCTATAATGCGGGAAAAGCGGCGATCTGTAGTGCTTACTCTATACTGTATGTGTAAAAAAAATGTATCATTTATGAAAATAATGACGAGGAGAATACCGACCTTTTTCCCGCTGAAAGCTTTTCGTGTGTATTATATAATCAACCGGGAAAATGCGGATTTCGTGCTCTTCTTCATTTTAATGCATGATCTACGCTTCATTCTTTGGATCTTGGTATACTTCAGAACCTATAGAATTCTATATAGATCTTTCGTTTCCTTTCGCAGCATCATAGAACTTTTACGTTAGCCTTATTGCGGTCACTCTTTGGCTTTCAACTTAATTGAGTTCTCTTGAAAAATCGAAACAAGCTTCTACTAACTTTTTGAAAAAGGCATCTCACATTGCAACTTTTTTCTTCTCCTAAGATGATTTTCCGTCACACGCCGTCAGCAAATGTGATCCGAAGCTAGGTCTGATATTATTCGGAGCAAAAATGTCAGCACGTCTGATATCTTGAATGTTTTTTGGGGAAAAAATCTGCTGCATGAAACATGCTTTAAGCCAGGGGGACCATATAGTACTGTAAAGTATTTTTAAATGCATAGCGGGACCACGACATTCGAATGCCTCGACTGGCGGACGATTCGACATACGGACACAGAAAACTAGAGGAAAAAAATCTGCCCTGACATCCGTACAATGTTAGCATCGAGATATGAATACTTTTCCGACATTTCTAAAAAAAGTGAAATAGTGTTTTTTATAAATGTTGAGACCTCTTGAACAAATCAAGCTATTTAAAAGCTCAAAAATGAAAAGAAATAATTTTAAAATAAACCTAATCATTCGTAATCCAAAACCAGCCAATTTTGTGCTTGTTTTTTCAGAGTTTTTCCCTTGTCTGTGTACAGTATAGCTTTATATTTGTTCTTGTTCTTGCTGGCATTTTGAACTCGTGCTGATGCTATAAAAGATCAGATCTTGTGTGGTCTTCTTCTGCGCAGTTAGTTTCTGCATCTTGAAGTTGAAGAATATTGTAGGCAATTTTTAGGGCCTTCATTTTTAATTTTTGATGAACATGAGAACCCGCAAATAAACATTTTCCGATTGAAGTCTACGGGGAAACGTGATCCAACGTCCGGATGCTCCGACATATAATGACAGGGTCCAAGCATCAATTACATCCGCACCTCGGTGCCCCACTGCTGTATATGTCCAAAATTTCAACATAGGAGTATTCAACTTTGTATGCCTGAGTCTAAATGTCCGAAGAATGCTTTTCTTCTTTGATTTCAAATATCAGGCGTCTCGGACTGCGTGCGGTTGCCGGCAATTTCGTTCGTGAACCAGGAGGAAGAAGCCACTCTGGGTGACTCGCTTGAACTGCAATGCGTGGTTCATTTCGGCTCAGACTTTTCCGTGATTTGGCTCAAGAAAAACCCGACGGAACCGCCGACTTCCGTGACTCTGTCGGTCGGAGGAAACGTCGTCATTCCGGATCCCAGATTCCACGTGTTGATCGAAGGCGGGAGCGATGAGCAAGTTTACACCCTGGAGGTGATGATTCCATCAATACTGTTTTCTGTAGAAACTTTTTTTGTTGTTGCCTGGCACAGTTGGTGTTGTATGATAAGTTGGCTAACCAGAATCTCGGGGTAAAAATCATTCCGAGCTCTCGCAATTTACGAAAAATGGTTCCTGCTGGTCCTTCGTGAAGAAACCTCGGATTTATACCGACTAAAATGGAAATCACATTTACCGGCCCTGGAAGAATAATGAAATATATACCGCGAATACTGTACATAGTTCCATGATATTAACTCATTAATTTCTTATCGAAAGAAATGTATCAGCCTTTCGTTCTGCTGAGGGGTAAGAAACATCAAATGAAGTCCCTCTTCAATCCCATTTCTGGTAACGGGTAAGAATAGCAAATCGCCATCATAGGCGTTCTTATTGCTGCTCATGGTCAAGCTGCAGATTCACAGATTTTTTCCCGGCCGTTCGAAAGATTTGTACATATATGGAATGAATAAGATGCGTTGATATGGACACATTGATTAAACACAAGTACACAACCCACATTTTTCAATAAAAGAAAATAAATTCTTCAAGAGAGTTATGTTCGGATAGCCATCGCCAGCATGCTCGTATATTAGTCCTATTTTCATCACGCGCGTTAATTTTATGTTTTCTAAATAGACTCAATCTTAAGAGAAGAGAATTCATTCCTAATTTTGTAAACACTTCTTCTGTATAACTTGAAATCTTGATCTTGCAGAATCTCCCATTTCATCATGAACCGCTTTCTTATGACCGAAAATAAATTGGAGAATTTTGTAAGTTATTTCGGCCACCATTAAAATACCGCGTACGTACATTAACACAAAAATCTTAGAAATCACTGCTGTTATTCATTTACAGCAGTATAGAACCTCGTTGCAACAAATATCGTTTTATTAAGTTAATGTTTACAAGTTTTTTTATGGTCCCTGTCCAATAGCAGCAATGGTACTTAATTTCGCTTCAACGATGAATTTCATCGTTTGTATTGGAGCTTTTCATATTGGTCCCAAACGCTTAGTTACGTTGTAACGAGTCTATATTGTAAATTATGCTCCAGAATTGATCAATGGAACACAAGTATGATACTTAGGTGATGACATTGATTTTCAACTTCAAAATGAAAAGATAATCAAGAAACCTTTGCCATAAGTTCTTTAAATTTGATCGATTTGGGTCAGGCAAATTTATCTTCGTTAGGTGATGGAAAATTCATGAGAAAATTCTTTGATATTAAATTAATGCAGTATAGTGTAATTTTATACTGTATATGCATAACCAATATTATATTTTACCACTCGCACAGAAAATTAACGAGAATCACAGTTTAGAACATATGTCGAAGAATATGGTGTGATGACTGGAGTTTTTAATGCTTCTATTTTATCCATAGAAACAATAATGCATGTTTTTTATTCGACCAGCGGCTTCAAGTCTTTGTTTCATAATTTAACCGATGCTTTTCCATAAAAGTGTTTCAAAACGTACCTTACTTTATCACAAGCTAAGTTTGGCCTGAAATACAGTAGACGAGTGAACTTCATCGTCAGTGATTTTCGTCCCCTTGAGCCCCATCTGTTTTCAACTTGGGCGCTTTTGACAAGACTAATGATGCTGAATCCTAAAAACAACTTCAGCATTTGGCAAGCGCCCAAAATTTCGGAAGGATCTCCGAAATTTACGTCGAAACGTGATCACCATATAGTGAAAAGGCAAATAAAAACGCCCGCATGTATACTCCGAAGTGCCGTTAAATTTCCGGTGCTAATGTCGTCATGTGGAAGTCTTCAAAAGTACGCTTCAATTAAATAGTACTGTATATCATATATTGGATGTGGAAAGAATTGAGAACGACTTTAATGAAACCACAGCTAGTGCATCATTAAACAGGGCACACGTCCGCATACAAATTGAAAGGAGAATTTCTCCTTCATACAGCAACTTGCGTGGATTTTTGAGAACTGTAAAGCAAATGTCAAACTGTACATCAGTGATCGTCCCCCATTCTTGATTTTTCTTTTCAATTGAAACTTTTTCGGCATTCAGAATGCTTACATGAGAATAAATTTCAGCTCACCCCCTGACTCCTGTCTATAATGATACAGTAATGACGAAAAATAATTTAATCACTTATTTTACACGGAATTTCGCTGTAGAGAAGATGACTGCATTATTACTGTACATTAATTGCAAATTTTCTGGGACCATGAAATTTTACCAAATGAATATTCTTGTAGACGAAATCATCGCACAAAAAGAGAGAAAAAGAGGGAGTACTGTAATTATAATCCATATTCTTGAATTGATCAGAAAATGAACAGCTGATTTCAGCACCATTTCATCATCAGATCATGCCAAGTCCTCATGATGAACATGAGTTGAAAGAATATTTAGACGGTTCAAGAAAACTTCCAGAATTTACTGCAGCAGAAGCGCTGACATTATTGATTTCATGCCAAATACAGTGGTATCTCGGTTAATGAGCTTAACCCATTCAGTGTTGATTTTTTTCTTCGAACGTAATTTTTTTCATTGACGAGTGCAAAGCTGTGAACGATCTTGAATATTTTAAAAGCTTTCCCCTGCTAAGCAATATTTTCGCAAGCTGCGTACAGAAATTTGATTCGAAATATCGAGAAAAACTTTCAAAAACAAAGAAGATAAATCCGGGAAACAATCAATACATTTTAGAGCCGAAATTCAAAAATAAAATTCTTTTAAACCTAGGTCCTTATCCAAAGACAAATTCATGATTTAAAACTAAAAATCGCCAGCCATCAGAGACCATCCCCATAAAAATAAAATCCATTATGGAGGGACATTAATCCAATAACCGTGATGTATAACGTTTAATCTAAAATGCATCATGCCTTCATACAGAATTAAAAATTTTCAGTGTGATCGAGCCAACGACATAATTATATCAAAATTGTTTGGTCGCGCAGATCAGGGACATCACGGAGACTGACGAAGGCCTGTACGTGTGCCAAGTCGTCGTGTCGACGCAGGAGTCGGTGTATGCGGAAGTCAACGTGTTGGTCCTGCGGCCGCCGACGATTTCCGACGAGTCGACGAGGTCGTTGATCGTCAGCGACGGTGACGATTTCCGGCTCGACTGTATCGCCACGGGCTACCCCGAACCCACCGTCACTTGGAGAAGGGCTAAGAACGAGCCCTTCTCGGGCCTCGACGGAGCCGTCGTCACTTAGTGAGTTCTGATTACCGGATTTACATGGAACTTTTTTTTTGTTGCTTTTCTGGTCCATTGTCGGTCATAAAATTCGAATCCTTCCTTGTATTTTAGATTCCATGGGACAAATCAGGTTCTTGGTTTATCTTGAAAGTGTTCGGCCATATCCAGATGCTAATTATTGAAGTACGAGAACAAAAAATACGACTTTTATTCATTCTAAGACATTGCCTTAATGTTTCTATATGATCATATGGAAACATTAAGGAATTCCCTTGGAATAAATAGAAGTATATTTATAGAATTATATGTACAGCACTTTAAAAAGGGTGTAAATCCCATATTTATGCGAAATCTGAACATCTTTTACGCAGGAATAAATTGTCTTCAGCACTATAGAAGCTAAATTGTTTTTATCTTTTGTGATCAAATTCACTTGAAATTTACTAATTTGCCAGAATTAAAATCGAAAATCGGGAAATATATTCAGATTTGGCTTTCATATAAGCATAAAACCATTCCATTTTCGAAATATGGTTGATTTAAAGTTATAAATTTATTGTTTTGTCTCATCGCAACGCTTGACTGTTATGTGACAGACTGTATTTAAAAAAAAGGGCAAAATGAAGTAAGTAGAACGCTCATTCAAACCTAAATTCAGCTCGTCATATTGTTATACATAGGTAGTTCATCATTAAAATGTTTGTTATAAAATTGTTCTTGAATGCTTCGGACCTTTTTCCACGACGTAATAAGGAATTCAATTTTTAAATTTTAATGACCAGTCGTGAGCTTCCGTTGTTTTCTTCGTGATCACAAAACATTTCCATTTTCCAGCAGGGGGATTCCGGAGGCAATTTCGTTGAAATAATCACTGCTGGTCTATGTGTTTTTCAGCGGAGAAGAGCTGTTGATCCCCAATGCGACTAAATTGGACCGAGGCACGTATTACTGCATGGCGTGGAACGGGGTCGGCAAGGGCGTCCGGAGGCGGATGTCGGTGTCGGTGCAATTCAAGCCGGACGTTTGGACGACGCGGTGGCGAGTTGGTCAAGCTCTCCAATACGACCAAGTGATGGAGTGCCACGTGGATGCATTCCCTTCGCCCGCCATCGCTTGGTTCTTCAATGGAAGGGAACTGACGACGAACCAAGATTATGAGTACTGTATTGTGTATATACATGCCCATCGTCATCAGCGATCCATTCATTGATTGATTAATATTCTCTCTTACCTCTCTCCATACGGGACGCGAAAAAATACCCTGAAATTTGATGTGCTCAGCATTCCGACAATTTAATCTAAATTCATCAGTCTGTGTGCTGCAACGAGTTTCCGCAGTATATACGCTTCTATATGTATAGCCATCGTGATATTTTGAAATGAAGACGAGTATAACTGCTACATACACTAGAATCTCGATAATAACATGAACTATCCTCTTAAATAATTAATTCTTGAGGTACGTCCAGTATAATTGCAAAAATGTTTTTGAGTCTCATCACAAATAATTTTTCATTACAGTATCATAAAAGTGTTCGTCAAGTCCACAACCTGGATTGAGAAAACCTTTGTACAGTACCTTGGTTTTATAAAACAAAATTCGACGCTTAGTACTGTAATAGTTTTTAAGAAGCAGTGCTGGAGGATAATTCAAAGACATTACTTATTGAAAATGCGTTGACACTAATTTGTAAGCCTCCAAAATTAGGAAATATGTCAGATCCCGCCCACACAAACACACGTAAATTATTTGGGATATTATCATGCATTATAATAAATGAGAACAGCAACTTATTACTGCATTATATTGAGAGCAAAATTGCTAGAAAATTATATGGCTGTGATTATAAATGCATTTTTCCATCGGTTTCATTTTTGGATGATCATGATCACCATGAAATGTCATCAAAACTTCGAGAAGACTGTATCACACGAAAATTCATGAATTGAGCTCTATGATGTTTGCTCATATAGTCTACTTCCGGTGTCCATATTTCTTAAACTTTCAAATAATCTATCCACTAAGTTAAAGTGGGTAGTTCCTTCGAGGAACTCCATGGGCCAACTTTGGCAGAAAATATTTCCGGGGTCTTTTTTACATCTGCTGGTTTACGCATTCAATTTTTTTTCAAAGATTATATAAAAGGCGAACTTCCTTATCCTGGATTGAAAATATTTTCCGTTTTACGCGAAAGTTATCCAGGCGTCCGCTGGGAAATCTTGAAAATGTGTTCAATCCGGTCGGCGACGGATTCCGAGGAACGAATTTGCATGACGAAATTTGATCATATAATCCCTGTGCGAAATGAACTAGTGTACGCGCGAGTGTCTTGAGCAAAGCACGAACATGTTCTTAAATGTAAAAGTTCCATTAAGTTTATCTTTCCGACGGAAAAAAGTTCCTTGATAACCTACACGTGTATATAGAAGAGTGCCATAGGCGGAAACATAACTTGATGGGACTCCATTTAATTGGATATATACAAGGTGAGATGAAGTTTCCAATTGATTCTTTTTCAGGATAGCAAATTATGCCATCACGGACGAAATAACATCCACTACATTGACAGTCTTGAGTGCGGAGAAGCGCCAATTTGGGAATTACACTTGCAAAGCCGGGAACAAGTTTGGGTTCGCGGAAGCTGATGTCATGTTCTCAGGTGAGCAGGATGAATGAGAATATATCCGAGTGGATTAATACCGTTATCTTAATGAATCTGAGGCACGGTAACAAGCCTGATACATAAATTAATACACTGAGACCCCCACATGCGGACACCTCAACATGGGGACAATTCGACATAGTGACATTTATTTTTCAATTAAAAAGTCATAAAAAAGGCCCAGCATAGGGACACTGACTCGACATGAGGACATTGCATGATAAAATCGCCAATACTTTTTAGGAAAATTGACTTTTATTAGGCTTAATTGCAAGAAACAGATATTTCCAACCCTAAGATCTACGTAAGAAAAATTCTTTGGTACTTTTCCCATCACTTTCCCATCCATTCAGCTAATTTTTAAAAAATTACCTGTAGCACAGAGTGACTTCCTTCTCTTTTTGTGACTTGGATGTTATTTTTATAGATGCCAACATTTCAATGAACTGTACAGCAGCATCAGTATACTATTCAATGCTCCAAGTGTTCTTATTGGGTTGAAAAGATATTCACTGAATCAAATTCAAGTGGCCAACTAAATTTTCTTTCATGGAATTCTGAAGAATATTTCTTCCATAAAACACTATTTAAAATGTATATAATGTTAATTTTATATACTGTACTGTATATATATTATGTATATACACTATGGGAAAATAAGACTTGACTTGGGGACAATTCAACAAACTTCGGAACAATCTTGATGCACCAATTATGTTCACATCTGGTGGTCTCACTGTATTTTGAACAGTGGCAACTGTGGAAAAAGATTAGAAGAAAATGGGTGGAGAAGAACTTGATAATAGGAAAAAAAATTGGATTTCCAGTGATTTTAGGAAATTAGTCAGGAATGCATAGGAAACGGCTTAAGGGAAAGGATTTCTTTGTTGTTCTTTGTCCAAGACTAGATTGTAGAACAGGTCTACTGTAGGACCAACAAAATTCTCAGAACCCCCCCCCCCCCCTTTCTTTGACCCAGTCAATATTAGAGGCCAGCTAATATTCCCTTTAGCCCCTTTTGAGACCCAGTATTTATTATTATGAACCAGTTTTTTTTGGGAGACCTGACATTTATTGAGGCAATTACTGTACGGTATTTATGTACATCATTATGACCCCTGGATTCTTATACTCCAGGAAATATTGGATTACAAAGCCCATTTTTCAAACAAAATAAAAGAGACCCTTTATTTCAAATGTCATTTCTCAATCCTCAAACGTCAGTATTATCTGAAATTTCCAGAGACATTTGTGGTCTACTTCCGGTAATCATTGGGAATTCCGTGACGAAACCAGCGGGTTGCAAACCAGCGGATTTGCAGCTGAGACATGAACCCGGAAAGCCCCGCGTTTCCTAACCCAGGAAACCGAAACCCGTCATCCGCACTAACGCACCTCTTATCACACCTCCCCACAGCATGACGTCGACGTTTTGTGGGGAAGGAGCAGGGGAAAAAAAGGGAGAAGAAAATTGCACATACCCGCGTGAATGGGAATTATTGGCGTGCTGATTTTTTTTTTATCGCCTTCTTCTTGCTGCGTTTGGGTCACGTGCTGAAAGAGCGAGAAGGGATTAATTTTTTATGCCATGCCCGTGTTGGCGTGAGTAACTTGTGATAAGACGACCACTGAGGCTGAGGTTTTTGCTTCTCCTGTGGGGGTTGCTGCTGTGGGGGAACGAATGCAGAGTGGCAAAAGGTCTGATGGTGAAGTCTTTGACACTAAAAGTATATTCATGTTCTTCTCATCTTGATCCTCTTATTTTCCCTCGTTTTTGGAAATGTGTATTTGGCTCCATGGAACATGCACTGGCATTTCCTGAGAAAAGGTGGATTACATGTTTTTTTGTTGAGGAATTTTCCATTTGCATCATTAGTATGCAGTGACGTCTCTCACTACTGTATGGAATTCCCCTTTAAAAAATCGTGGTTTCTAGTTTGTGCCATTTGCATGACCAAAAAACAACATACTATCAGTATCAATTATGAACAACTATGTCTGAAGAAATTCCAGTCAGACTTGAAAACCACTGTCAGCAAGTATTTAATTACTGTAACAATGAATGCCCAGGCATACATTTAGAATCATTAATTTTCCCCCATGGCCTTTATTTATTACTTGAGCGGCAAAGTTGGGATATTTTTGCAAACTTGTGTGACCATGAGCAGTGAAGATTAGGAAAAATGACCTACAACCAATGCCCAAGTCCAGAAAAAGTATGTTTTTTTTTATAGTCCTGAAGAAAAAATTACCTGAATAAAAGTTCCTCACTGGGTGGCATTTTAGAAAATGAAAGGTTTCACCCTTCCTGGCTTTTACTGACTTAGGCCTTTCCAACCTGGGTGCATTTCAGTAGACCTTTGGCCAAACTGAAATGCTGCCCAACCCCCCCCCCCCCACTTTGCTGCAGGATGGCCAGGAACCCTCTGCCATCCAATTGTTAACTCTTGGGCAGGAAAGTTGGACTTTTTTTGCAAAATTTTGTTGCATCTCAGAGAGGTGAAGAGAAAAATGTCAACAGGGTGTTAAGGGCAAAGTCTGGAAAAATCCCAATGTTTTTTTTCCGTGGGCACAGAACATTTTTTTGGGAAAATTAAAAAAATGCTCAGGTAGTCTATTGGCTTTTTTTGGATTTTCCCCCAGTTTGCCTCAGCCCACCTGGAAGGGTTTTCCTGACCTTCAAAATTATGAAAATGTGGGAGGATACAAAAATAATCAGACTCAGTCCCCCTCCGGGAAAGTACCCTCTGCCATCCAAGGGTTAATAGAGACTGGTATTTATTAGAGACTGGAAATTATTTGCAATGGTTGGGTTCAGAATTAAATGTAAAGAAAAATGGGGGAACACCAAGGGAAAATAGGAAACGAACTTGGATTTTCCACTGATTTTTTAAAATAAGACAAGAATAGATAAGAAAATGCTGAAGGGAAAGTGGTGTCATTGTTGAGTGTTCAAGACTATATTGTGGCAATGATTATTATGATCAAAAACTTCTGGCAATTTTTTAACTCCCCTTCCTTGCTTTGACCCAACCACTGTCCCAGGCTGAGTACTATATTTCCTTCTCACCCTCTTTGAGACCTGGCATTTATTGGAGACTGGCATCTATTGGAGACCCAGCATTCATTGGAGCATTTACAATATACATTATTATAATAAAGGATTCAAATTGGTCTGCAACATTCTTCTTGAAAGACAGCTTTCAAAATGCGAATTTTCCTTACAACAGGTTCAAGGTGAAGTGAAATGCTGCGAAGTATAAAGAGAGAAAAAAAGAGATCACATTCGATTTCTCTATATTATCCTGAGACACTGGCAAAAGACACATCTTCCATGAAAAACAGGTGATAAGAAGGAAAAGCTTTCAGCCTGTTTATGTTGCTTTTCATCTCCCCTGCGGCATGCGTTCGATCCGCTATTCCTTCGGTTCTGGCGTGTCAAGGCTTTGACACGGTCTCTCTATGTCTATACAAACGTTTTTATATATAATTAAATTGCAATTCTTCAGCGGCGACCTGACCTAACCTGACCTTTTAACATAGTTCCTGCTTTTTAAGCAAAATAGCCTGACACTTGTAAAGCTTATAGGGAGTGGCTACCAACCCGCTTTTTTCCAAAGTTCACCTGATGAAAAATTTCACGAACGTCATTATTGCCATGAAAATTTTATAAAAAATTTGATACATAGAAGTAAAGTTCCACAATAACGTCAGTTAAGTCATGAAAAATTAGAAATAGCCATTTGCTCAATTCTTGGAAATGTGCATCATTGCTGTGCTGCTTTCACTGGAAATGTAAAATTCCACGCTATTGGAAAAGTTTGCATAGAAAAAGTCAGTCGAATATATTGCCTGAAAATTTAATTTGTTGACTATCTAAATTCTAATATGTGAAATCTCATGAAATGATTTGGATACATTTTTTCACTTTTTGAATCTATCATGCATTGATGAGTATTTTTCCCTGCTTATTAATTTGTCATAAAAGTAAGTTAGTATGCTGCTTTCTTCGCATGCATAGAAAATGTCGATTGAAAATTGCGGAAACATTTATTTTTCATTTTGGGAAATTTAGAACCTCGTGAGATAAGTTGCGATATTGTTTCAGATTTTGAGTCATCCATTAGTATCTGGTATGTTATTTCCATATATAATCAATTCGTGATAAACGCCAGTTCTCCGCATTTTTCACAATGTTTTCAATTTTCGAGACCAAAACTGCGTTACTAACTCAGAGAATTAAATTATTACGGCATTTTACATTGCTTCGAGAGATTTGAATTTCATTGCGATTGAATACATTTAGAAATTTCTTCCAAATGTTGGTTCAGAACTGTCAGAGGATGCAAAATAATTTTTATACCATTAATTTCATCCCTTGAGAAATCGGGAAGTATCACTTCGAGGAAGTACACGAATGGCTGCGGCTCTTATTTTAAAAAAATGATGTGTCAATAAGAATAAAAACGGAAAAAAATTGTGCGATTTTTTCTGCATGATTTCACACGATTTCAGGGCACATTATTCTAGAAGCATTCTTTCTGCCCACCAGCAAATAACTAGGGAATTTTCCATCGGTTTTAAGAGATTTGAATTTAATCTCGACTGAAAAAATTGGAAATTCCTGCTGAGAAGAAGCAAAAAAATAATAATAATTACAGTATCTTACCGCAAGGGTCTCTTCAAGAAAGTGCCGACCAGTCTTCAACTCACATTTTAAAACAATGGCAAGAGAGAATATGAATATTAACAAGGAAAATTATTTATTTGTTTTTCGCACATATCACACGATTTCAGTGAAAGATCTTTTGGAAGCATTACTTCCCCCCCCCCCCCCCCCCCATTAAATGATAACGGGATGATCCAATGCTTCAAAATACTTGAATTTAATTTCGATTTGAGTACATTTAGAATTCCTTTCAATCGTTGGCTTAGAAACTTAGAAACAGCAGAACAATCTCTCGGTCTTCGACTTGCAATTTTGCAATTTACAATAAATGTATCTAGAATATAA